CCACGGTGGGGAAAGCGTGGGGCCGAGGGGAGAGCAGGGCACTTGCAGCCCTCGGTGGGTGTGCGGCAGAGTGCCATCAGGTTTCTCCTCCGTGGGGCGAGGGGATGCTCGCGGTCTTCTGGGCCCCTGTCACTTGGTGGTATCGGCCTGTTCCCGGTCAGCCCACGGGACTTGACAACTTGTTGCGATCTTCTCCTTCTCTTTCTTGAGCTCTCTCTGGGTGGGAACTTCTGAGGACCAGTCCGCCTCTTGGAGGGGAGATGGAGCCTGCCTTCGGATCTCACCCTCTTCCAGGGGCCTCCTCCTATACCTTGGCAGGGGTCTCGGGGCTGTGGTGGAGCCCCGGGGTCCCTCACCTCCCCCCGCTCACATGTGGCAGTTCTTGTTTTGCAGGTGCAGCCGGGTGTGTAGCAACGTTGCTCCACGATGCAGCCATGAACCCTGCTGAAGGTAACGATGGTCCTGGCCTGCCGGGGAGGGGAGGATCAGGGTCTGCCTGCACCACTCGGGTCCCTTCTGGAGCACAGAGGGTGCTCTCCTTACTGCTTGCCCAACTGCAAGGATCCTTTGGGGGCCAGTGGCTGCAGCTCTGGTTAGGGCCCCCGGCGGCTGCCCGTGACTGAGGGGGTAGGTAGAAAAGATTCATTCTGGGGAGCACAGCAAACCTCAGCTTAGGAGGAGCCGGGAGGGCAGCAGCCTTTCGCCCAGGGGGTTGGCTGGGGACAGTTACCTGGAGCAGGAGAGAAGGCAAGAAAGATGTGATTCATAATGTGTAAGTCATTGCAACTGTGTGCAAGTTGGGCGTTGCTGTGGTAAGGTCTCAGGAAGATGTGGTACGGTTCTGGGCCTGTGTTTGGGATGAAAATTAAAAGAATGGGGTACAAAAGGCATGCTAGAGAAGTCAGGGGAAGGGAGATCTTGTGTTGTGAAATGTCTGGAAGATACTGATTTTGTTGAGCCTGGTACGTATGAAGAAGGCAGAGAGAGTTTATAATTAAAGTCTGTGAACATGGCGGGAGAAAGAGGAATAATGAGGAAAGATCAGCCATGAACGTTTTTTTTTTCTTCTTGAAACTGGAGGGCTCATGGCAGTGCGGGCTTCAGCTGATCTGAGCCCAGCAAGGCTCCCGCCTGCTCACTGCCTGGCTGGGACCCTGAGGAGCAGGCAGCTGCCTGGCCAGACTGTTGTCATTCCTTCCCTGGAGCTCATCTTCTGATCACGACTGTAGTAGTTGGTAGTGGCATCGTTTCTAGCTCCTTGTGGTCACGTTGAGATAGGGGGAGCAGGACAGCGTTGGGCTGCGATCTGGCTCCCCTGCCCCACTCTTGGATGTGTTGGGGGGTGGGGGGTGCTTGGATTTGGTTCTTGCCCCAGAGCGGCTGCATTTCAGCAGCAGCCATGATTCCTGGCTGGTGGGCTCTGTGATGTGCTGTGGTTATTCTGGGCTGCAGCGGGGGCGGCTGAGGAGGGAGAGGCTCATCCAGATTGAGAGCTGTCTGGAAATGAAGAGAATAGATGCAGAGGGAGTTCTGCTGACTGCATGGTAGCTCTGCGGTGGTGAACAGGGAGACATCAGTCACTTGGGAGCGAGGGTGGATCTGGAGTACAAGCACCCGGGTATTGGGGTGTTCCCTGGGGCTGCAGCAGCTGCGGGTTTCGCTGGTGGTGATGTCTGTGCGACGGTGATGCCTCGGCAGATCTAAATGGCTGCGGTCCTGCCTGGGCACACGCAGGGCACTGCTGGTCCGAGTTGTCTGTCGTTGGCTCTTAAACCAGCATGACCAATCTCCGGGCGCTTGGAAGAAGCCTGGCTGCACGCTTACCTTTTCTCTCTCCTCTTCCCCTCCGCGCCTGGGTCCTGGCTGCTGCTGGCTGCTGCCGACTGTCCCAAGTGGTCAAACAGAGGATGCAGATGTACAACTCGCCTTACCAGCGTGTGACGGACTGTGTGCGGGCTGTGTGGCGCAACGAAGGGGCTGGAGCTTTCTACCGCAGCTACACCACCCAGCTCACCATGAACATCCCCTTCCAAGCCATTCACTTCATGACCTACGAGTTCTTGCAAGAGCAGCTCAACCCCCACAGACAGTACAACCCAGGCTCCCACGTGGTCTCTGGAGCCTGCGCGGGGGCCGTCGCTGCTGCTGCCACTACGCCTTTGGACGTTTGCAAAACGCTGCTCAACACCCAGGAGTCCCTGGCCTTGAGCTCCAACATCAGCGGACACATCACAGGCATGGCCAATGCCTTCAGGACGGTGTACCAAGTGGGCGGCGTGACCGCCTATTTCAGAGGGGTCCAGGCGAGAGTCATTTATCAGATGCCCTCGACAGCGATCGCCTGGTCTGTGTACGAGTTCTTCAAGTACATCCTCACCAAGCGCCAGGAGGAGCGGCGGGCTGGGAAGTGAGCCAGAGCTGAACGCCGTTCCAGACCTGCTTCACCTCCCCTCCTGGTGTGTCTTCTGACCCCTCTCCCTTTCGGTTTGGTTTATGTTGAAGAGAGAGGGCAGCAAAGCCCTTCGGGGTTTAGCGATGCCGTGGCCTGTGGCTGCTGCAGCTTTGCTCAGGCTGCGCAGCTTGCTTTCTCCCAGGGTCCTCCGAGATGTCCCCCTGGGAGCTGCAGCCCAGGTCACATCCCCTGGCACTTCGGTGGAGCTGTGCTCCTGTCCTTCTCTTATCCAAAACCTCCTCTCACGCAAAGCTTGCCCCTCCTCAGAGGGGAAGGTGAATATCCTGCCCTGCCTCCGGCAGGGCCAGGCTGAGCTTGCAGTCGCCACGGAGGGGGCGGCGATGGCGCCACTGCCCGGGATGCTGGGGGCTTTGTCTGGCTTTTGGCTGAAGCGAAGTGTAAGCCTTGCCGTTGTCTTGTAGCACGCACACGTGATGCTGACTGCCCCGGTGGTGGCGGGGGGGGCGGGGAGGATGGCACTTGAGGAGGGGAGCCTGTAGGTTTGTTATTGTTCCTGCTCTTGACACCTCCAATAAAAACAGTTCTGCTCTATCCTCATGTACCCTTCTTACTCCCACACGGCCCAGCTCCCAGCACTGCACCTTTCTGACTCTGCCCAGTGCTGACCTCCTTTGATGGATGCCAGAGGGCGAAGGGAAGTGGGGTCTGGGGGTGACAGTGGGAGGAGAGGGCCTGCCTGGCCCTGCCACCCTGGCAAGGTGCA